ATGATGCCCTAGGATGAGAATGCGTTGGTTTTTTACATGTACATTCAGTACATCCAGCACACTTTTTGTCAAAAGGGTAGAATAATTGTGTGGTAAACAGCAACACAGATTGGATTTGATAGATATAATGTTTCATTTTTCGTACTGGGGAAAATTAGGTTTCAATATTCATCTGCATGCTGACAGGTGCCGGAGATGATGAGGCTGTCTTCTCCATCCTTCTCCCCCAGTCTGGGATAACGCCACACACACTTTCCAGGTTGCAGTTCACTCCATTATGATACCATCACGACATGGACTCATATTGGCCAATCTAGCAGCCAGCAGGACAGATGCCCGGTGTTTAATTTTCTGTTTTGAGATATCGGCTGCATCTGTTGCTGTTGGTTAGTTTTCCATGTGCTGTTCCCTGGTTGATGAATCATGTCTGGCTGCTTCTGAGAGTCGCTGGGGAGCGCGGCCATGGAAAACAAACAACGGAACCGCCCGTATCTGTGTGCGCACATCAAACGCTGGATAAGCAGAGCAAGCAGCTCACCATGAAAACCTCTTCATCAGCTATATCAAAGACATCACTGCAGAGACGCACAACATGGCTTAACTATCCCCGAAACAGACAACTAACAAGCGCAACGCGCAAAACATAATAGCTATTGTGATAATTGGGGAGTAAATCTGTTTGTTTGTTTGTTACGTCAATCAAAGGGCATGTTTTCCTTTTTTTTGTCAATCATATTGCAAGGGATAGTAAATCTATGGCAAATAGAAGAAACTAAAAACGTATACATCACAACATGTGTTCAATACAAAGCACCCTTTTACAAGTAGAAATTCGATAAGAATATATATTTTATAGAGCTTATGATTGTTCTTGCATTGTTTGTGCATAGTAAACAAATTACATGGTGAACGTTTGAAGAAATCAGACCAATCATAAAGGCAATCACAATCATGTTTTTATTTTATCTGTCAGATAGCCAACGTTTCGTCTCTTTATACCTGACTACATAAAAAATAAAGTAACTTTCTTTTCGGGAGCTTCCTCTTTTTCTTTGACTGAAAATATCTGTAGCCTACTGGGAGTCGAGAGAGTGGTAAAGTTACTTATTTACAGGACATATTTATAGAAAGAAGTCCTGTAACTAAGTTAACAAATAAACAGAAGCAGACGCGACTGAAGAAGTGTGTTCTTGTGTGAAACCTAACAGTAATTTATTTCTGTGTGACTAATGTGACGAATAAAGAAGGAATAAATACTAATTACTAGTGCAGTCAAACGATTAAAATATTTAATCACGATTAATCGCATTAATGTCATAGTTGACTCACGATTAATCGCACATTTTAATCTGTTCTAAATGTCTTTCTTTTTGTCCCATTATTTTTTCCTCAATTTTAAGCTCTAATCAACATGGAAAAGTGGATCGGCTTGTTTTGTGCAAATGTTGCGCATATACTATGTTCAATTTCACACTAACATTCTCACTTGGAGCAAATAATCTCTCACACAATGTAACACTGTCCATCAATAAAAGGGTGAAAGAAATACTGACGAGGTCCTGATATTGACGAGGGGGCGGAGAAGTTACAGTACATCAGCTGTGCGTGTGTGTGTGTGTGTGTGTGTTTCAGACTGGACGTGATCACTTTGGTCTTGTCAATGGAATCTGGCAACTATTAAAAGTAAAATTTCCATTCAGAATCTTATTGGCATCCATTTCGGGATCTCGCGCTCGTCATCCACTCAAAACGTAACGTTAACCTACTATTTGGCTGTTTCGCAAGCCTAAACAAGTGTGTGCGGCGCGTCTGTTGTTTTGTTTACGGTCTAGCTAGATTCGCTTGCGCTTTGGTCGACAAAGCAACAAAACGTCGACGCAAGCCATTGAAATTAATAGGTTTCATAGCGCTGCGCCACGCATGCCGCGTCCTGTTGCAAAAGCATATGAAAAAACCCCACAAAGTTTCCTAGGACAAAAACACCGTTAAACGCGCAATAAAAAAAATTGACGCCGTTAAAATGGGATTGCGTTAACGCCGGTAATAACGCGTTTAACTGACTGCCCTACTAATTACAATAGTTCATGTTTTTCACTGTGTCAAGTTGCAGTTTGTTTGAAATTACAAACCTGTTCAACTGAAGGAAAACTCGACAAAGCTTTTTGGTACATAACGGCTACCGTAAATACAACATGCATTTGAAAAAGCGAGGCGCTGGAAAGCACAATTTGTTTGAATGCAAAATACAAGTTCAAAAATCTCACACAGACACTTCTGGGGCAAATGAAGTCCACACTTTTCCTGACTCCCATATCATAAAATGAACCAGAGTGGTAATGATCCATCTCAGTGCACATGACTCTTACCGCACCATTATGTCGACACCACAATAATAGCATTTCTAGTTCTTTAGTCCCTTAATCAATGGCCGACAAAATTACCCCACGTTAATGTCAGGGACATTTCAATGCAGCATGGCACATGAATCCTTTTTGGAAGGCTATCATTAATTCTAACACTCTCTGGCTCTGATATTTTTATTGCTCTCCCACAGTGAAAGTCATCAAAGCGAGCGTCAATCAAGGCATTTATTAAATTCACAACTGAGATGCCACTAAATTCCCTCAGATCAATGTCAGCACTTGGTGCGGGGCGCGTAGACACGGACATGAGAAAGAGGAACTCGGTGCACCGTCCTGAGACGGATAGCGTCATATAATTAGAAAGAACATTTCACAAATTCTGTTACGATTCTCAATAATACGACGTGGTGAATTCATGGGCCGTTAACATGTTATGCTCATGATGCTTTCAGAAACCCAGGAATGAAAGAAAACACTGTCGCTCCGACTCTTTGCTTCAGGCAAAATCATTCCTCGCTCCGCACAGCTCACAGACTCGAAATATTTGCAAATATTGCAATAATGAAGAATATTTGCATGTACTGTCAGTGCTGTTTCACCACCCGATTCTCCAAATTAACTGTGCAAATTCTGTGAAATCTATTTATCTGTAAAAAATTATGTTGTAAATGCAATTTGCACAATGCAGCTATGAAAGATGCAGCGGACTACAGCAAACTGGCTTGGTGTATTGAGACTGTACAGCGTTACTCCACGACGGCAACCCAGACACATGAAACAAAGATTTTTGGAGTATTTTTTACATGAAAATATTTTACCAGTCTTTCTGCTTAAAAATTTCATGTTTAATTCAATGTGTTACTTGCCATTTTTTTAATCATATGTCAAAAAAAAAATTTTTTTTTTACAAAATATTTGTAAGGAAACATCCTAACAATGTTTACTGAAAGTCAACTGTGTGAAAATATGTATTGCAAAACTCACATAAAACCTGATGCTATTATAACCTACTGAAGAAAAATAAATAAATAAAATGGCTAAATAAAATATGTGCTCTGCCTGGTGGTTTTGTGTTGTACAGCTGTGCAGTCCCTTTCCTTCTCTCTTCCCTCTCCATTACTCTGTCCCTCATCCGCTAGCTATCTTTTGTTTCCTCGAGCTGAATTGAGAGTGAATATTACTCCTACAGATATTGTACGTCAACACCCAATGTCACGGACCTCACAGGAATAAAGGAACAAAGAAATCTATCAGATAAAGAAAAATACAAAATGTCCATGGACAACTGCATGACTAGAAATAGTTACACACCGACTAAAGCTAGAGTTTAAAGGTTCTGGAAAAACATTTTCAGTACTTGAAAGATATGTAAAGAGCAATAAAACCTATACTAAATGAAGTACACTTCATCACAGCCCGTTTTCATCCCAAGGCCTCACATACTGACGCTTTTGCCAATGCGTAGACATCCGACACACATGGCACCCTTTAGCGTCAATATGAGAAGGCGCCTCCTAGTGGTCTAACCCTAACACTACCCCAGGCCTAAACCTACCCAATAAAGGGTGCCATGTGCGTCGGATGTTGACGCATGGTCAAAAGCGTCAGTTAGATGACGCCCTAGGATGAGAATGTGTTGATATTATCAGTCCTGTTTTTAGCAGCAATATGTGCTAATGCTTATCCACGAAGAGACGCACGTACAACAGCGTAGGTGGATATACCAAGGTACAATGCAAGGTAACTTGACGTGCTGAAGTCAATACAGTCTTTAAATATTTGTGGCTTGAATTGTTACCCTCCGCCGTACAATTATGACCTTGTGGCGAGCAGGACGAGGCCGAGAGCTGAGGTGTCGCTCATCATTAACCTTGCGTCGTTTTCACACAGCCTAGACATTCTTTCAGTGTTAATCGGTAAGTTATGACATTTCTAATCATCTCACAGATGCTCAGGTGTGAAAAACAAAACGGCCAAAGTGTGTTCATTCTGCCAAGGCTCTCCTGTGGCCTGATGGGTAATCAAACGCAGGCATGTCTGATTCCGGCATCTGTCATTTTAAAAAAAGAAACAACTCGGTTTGCCCACCCACAACTGTATCACACATCCGCTCTATTCCTCAGCACATCTAGATTCACCGCTGTGCAATTCCCTTCACTATTGATTTTACTGCTCTTATTTTTCACCCAGTTTTAAAACCCACACATAAACACATGTTCTAACTAATCGTCTCGCTATTGGCCCTACGCAAGGCCGAGGCTACATCTCCCGGAAATAAATAACTTGTATTTCAAGCTCTTTCTCATCTGTTTGGAGAGGACAGGAAACATTATTCTTTGATATTGGATCAGTGTGTGAGATAGACGCATCCCTGCTTTGATTTGAATGCCTGATGTGGCGCCCCGATCCTCGTCTTGGCTTAGACACACCGAACCGATGCCAGCCGGGAGAGTGGATTTCGGTCTTGAGACGGCTCTAAAAATATTTGCAACTAAATGCCAGAGCATTTCGCAACACAGTGCCAGTCAGAAGATAAATGTGAATTATAGTTAGTTCTATTTGATCCTCATCAAGGGGTGTATTATTATGAAGGACCCACAGTACTGAATGATTTGGCTGTTGTGTTTGGCGTCTTACTTGTATTGGGTGACTGGCGGATTAGCTTTCGCTGAGCAGTGAAACTTCACCAGGTTTCCCTCCAGGACTGGTTGAGGCTCCACAGAGAGATTCACCAACGGCAAGTCTGCAAGAAGACATAAAAGAAACTAATAAGAAAACATGACTTTTTCCACACAAATTTTCAGCAATTTTAAAACAATAGGTGAAGATTTGCTTTAGCTTTTATCTGGTCACGTAGGAGCGTCGGAAATAATTGTGAGAGTATTAACTGCGCATCATCAAAAGATGTAAAAATCAGGGAACAAAGCACTAACGCACTAATGAGAGGTATGCCTTCTAATCTCTGCAAATGAGAACTAAGTGGAAAAACAGTTTAATCACAAATCATTCAATCATGAAAGCTAAAACAAAACAAAAAAATAACAGCGTAATGGCATTTAAACTGGGATATTAATAACAAACACAGATTATGCACGCAATAGCATAATACCTTTTCCATTTTCATTAACACTTTGTAAACTTTAAATGTTCTCTTTTTTTAGCATACGTACTATTAAAGGGGTAGTTCACTTTAAAAAAATAAATAAATACACTTTAGCTGATAATTTACTCACCCCCATGCCATCCAAGATGTCCATGTCTTTCTTTCTTCAGTCGAAAAGAAATTACGTTTTTGGGGATTTTTCTCCATATGATGGACTTCAATGGGAACCAAACGGTTCAAGGTGCAAATGAGAGTTTCAGTGCAGCTTCAAAGGGCTTTAAACGACACCAGACGATGAATAAGGGTCTTATCAAGCGAAACGATCGCTCGTTTAAAAAATAAATAACAAAGTTTAAGTTTTATAAGCTCAAATGCTCGCCTTCCTCTGTTCTGTGATGAGCGTTCGTGACTCGAACTCGTTCATCAAAATGAACAAATCTTTTTTGAGTCATTTGGTTTAGTCAACGATTTGGTTTAGTCAAAAGATTTGTTCATTTTGAAGAATGAGTTCAAACAGGTTTTTTATTTATTCGCTAGATAAGACCCTTAATCATCATCTGGTGTCGTTTAAAGCCCTTTGAACAGTTTGCATTGAAACACTCATTTGGACCTTGAACCGTCTGGACCCCATTGAAGTCCATCATATGGAGAAAATCCTGAAATGTTTTCATCAAAAACATTAATTTATTTTTCGACTGAAGGAAGAAAGACATGGACATCTTGGATGACATGGGGGTGAGTAAATTATCAGCAAAGTTTTTTTTTTAATTGTATTTTTTTTTTAAGTGAACTACTCCTTTAATTCACAAAAGTGAAATAGTTCAACTGAACTTTTTGAGGCGTCAAAGTGGCGTCAAAGACAAAAATATTTTTCATTTTAGTTTTAAAAATGAATGCAAGTTCGGAAACACATGGGGGCGAGTAAATGATGATAGAATTTTCATTTTAGTGTGAACTATCCCAATCTTTGTTTAGCATATTTAGATTTAAAATATTACCAGTATATGCTGTAGATGTCCCTCGTATGCCTCTAAGCTATATTTTGCACTGCACAACAAAAACAGATTTATGGATCTCCAGGGATGCCCAAAAAAGGAAAAGAGACCTAATTGTTGTGCTTTTACCAAGACCGGACAGTGGCAAGCGCAGAAGCTAAGCAGCACAAATCAGCAATTCAGCATCCACAGGGAGCACAATCGGGAGAGATAAAGATAGATGAGTAGAGAGAGAAAGAGAAACCGGATCGTCATGCACTATTCTACATACATGTTACACTAATTTAGTCTGCGCTGGCACGGCTGTATTACAACAGCACAGATCAGTGGACCGAAAGAGAACAGGACTGCCTCAGATGGAGTGTAGTGTGAAGTGTGTGTGTGACTCCTGAAGTACAGTGTGTGGCCCACAGGAGCACAGCTGGGCAGAGTGGCATCCCGGTGGTTGGCGCAGGTGCTGCCCTTTTTCCCCATCTGCCTTTTTTCGACCACACACACCTGTGCCAGGTTGTTCACTAACCGCCATCCGTGAGCCCGCGGGACACACACCGGCGCGAGCAGGACAAACTGATTAGTGCTGTGTGCGGCCCGGGTACCAGCAGGATACGTGTAAAGCGTTTACTCTGGCTAATTGGGCATGCAGGTATAGGTGGATATCAGAGGCAGGGGTGTTCAGGCTTGTTTCCAGGTTGATACATACTATAAAACGGATATTGTCCCTCTAAATATTGACTGCAGATTGCATATTCATTCACCAAGTTGACATAAATGGCCAATAAAGAGCATTAGCCCAAATGTTAACCATAAGCCTACTGTATTATGTTTGATTGCAAATTTCTATGGCCTCTAAATGTGCTGCATGCCTTCTGCCGTCTGATTGATACTTTATGCTGTTTTAGCAAATAAAAGGCATTCAGATCATGGCACACATCTTTTTTGTTGTGAAATCTGTCTATTAACATCTAATATTTTAAGATGAACACTCACTGGACTGAAGCAACTTAGGTTTACCTGATTTTTATAGACCATTTCACAAGATGTAAACAATACTGGTCCAGAAGCACTTCCTGTTTCAGTTTGTAACTGTTTTCTTTATTTCACATGTAAAGAAAACATCTTAAAGATGTTTGTTTAACATTTGATTCAGTTTCAAATGTTCTGTTGGTTGTATTTTATCCCAGCTTTTATATAGTGTTGAAAAACTGAAACAGGAAGTGCTTCTGGACCAGTGATGTTTACATCTTGTGAAATGGTCTATACAAATCATCGGTATGTATCATCACATGTAATGTCAAATATTATACATCAGGCTTTTGAGGAATGTTTCTCATTGTATTACATTGCATCATATGTGCAATCCAAACAATTAAAACGACAAAGATTTGATAATAAAACTAAGCTTTTAAAATATCATCTTACTAAGATATATTTTTTACAGATATATATCAGTGACAACTGATATTTATATGCATTTTATAAAGTAGTCTCCTATCTTACTTTTTGGTCATATAAATATCAGCTTTACATATCGTTTTGCCTAGTTTGGGCTTCTGAATAAAATTGAGGTCAATTATGAGCTATATTCTCCCATCATAAGTAAAAAAAAAAAACATACATTTTTATGTTTTTTTTAGTTTAAAAAACTATTATTATGCATTAAGTTCAGGTCTTGTAAAAGCTTTCAAAAGTGCATAGTAAGTGTATAAAACATAAATGCAACAAGTCACCAGATTCCGTGCATTACAGTGACTTTACCATAATTTGGTAACCATTTACCAAATATGTTTGCCAAATAAGTTTCGCTTGATAAGACGCTTATTCATCATCTGGAATCGTTTAAAGCCCTTTGAACTGTTTGCAGTTTGCACTGAAAGTGTCTTGTGGACCTTGAACCGTTTGGTTCCCACTGAAGTCCATTATATGGAGAAAAATCCTGGAATGTTTTCATCAAAAACCTTAATTTCTTTTCGACTGAAGAAAGAATGACATGTACATCTTGGATGACATGGGGGTGAGTAAATTATCAGCAAAAGTTTTTTTTTTTTTTTTAAAGTGAACTACTCCTTTAAGCTGGTTTCAGGCTACTCTACCGAATAGCTTTCAGTGGCGTATTGATTTATTTTCAATATTTTTGATATTGACATTCATTTTGCTACTTAACTTTTTTGAAGCATATCATGATTGCCTTTTATGTCAGTTCAAGTCTTTTGAGAGTAACTCTTGAGGGAGATGAAAGCCATCAAAAGTGTCCTCTCAACTTACGACAAAACTGAAGTGTGACATTAACTCTCTGTCTTAAATAATGAAACGCGCTTCCTTAGACGGACGTTTATCCTTGGAGGAACGACTAGCTCCTCTCAAAGGCCCCGACTGGCAGAGGCTCACAAAGATCCTCGCGACCCGCAAATCTATCGACAGACAGTCTCTTAATAAAGTAGTCTGTTTGTCACTTTGATGTATAAATGCATGAGTCTCTCTGGCCTGAGACACACGCGGCAGGCCATCAATATGCAGCTCCGATAATTCCTCCGCTTCATCAACAGGGAGAGCACGGAGGCGACAATGACAGCCCGCAAAACAATGGGATTGGAGGAGAGGGGTGATCTAAAAAAAAATAATTATATAAAATAAAATGTGGTGAGATGACAGCTTTTGATCGGAAGTTCAAAGCGAAGAGCAGATGGTGGTTTTGAACAATCGGCCAACTTCCCCAGAGTTGGGAGGAAGGTGCCAAAGAAAATGGCTTCTGTCTTTCTTAAAGCTTGATTTCCATTCTCCCTGGGTCACCGTGGCCAGCTGTTCTCGGAGAGGGCCGATAGCCTCGTATCAGCAGGAGGAGGGAGATTTAATCTCTTTATAACTCAACTGAATCTGTGCCACGGTGTGGGTTTCACTGACACTGAGATCTCACAGCAACTTTTGTTCTCTCTCCAAACACAGTTCACGCGTCTATATTGGAGACTGAGGCGAGGCTCTTTGCGGTGAGTCACTGTTGTGTATAAAGCATTTTAGCAGCAAAAGCATGCAGTGCGCTAGCTTACCTTGCTTCTCGCTTAAAGGGTTAGTTCACCCAAAAATGAAAATTAAGTCATTAATTACTCACCCCCATGCTGTACCAACCCCGTAAGACCTTCGTTCGTCTTCGGAACACAAATGAAGATATTTTTGATTAAATTTGAGAGCTGTATAACTACCACATTGGCTCCTAAAGGACTGCCTCTTGACGGCCCAGAAAGTCAATGAAGAAAATGTTTAAATATCCCAAGTGACTACCGTGGCTCAACTATATGTTTATCAAGCGACGCGAATACTTTTTGTGCGAAAAAACAAACAATAATAACGAGTTTATTCGACTATTTCTTTTCTTCCTTGTAGGCCAGAACGAGACTTCCTTAGATTTCCACGACTTACACCGCTTACACTACTTCAGATCGCAATTCTCGCGCATGCGTCGTGGAAATCTATAAGGAAGTCTCGTTCTGGCCTACAAGGAAGAAAAGAAATAGTCGAATAAACTCGTTATTATTGTTTGTTTTTTCGCACAAAAAGTATTCGCGTCGCTTGATAAACATATAGTTGAGCCACGGTAGTCACTTGGGATATTTAAACATTTTCTTCATGGACTTTCTGGGCCGTCAAGAGGCA